TATTTACCGTAACAAATAATAGGGTAAGGGATCCTCACCCAGATCAGTATTTCGAAATATCGTACTATCTACTACGCCTTCTAACGGGTCCTGGGTTTTCTAAATTTTTTCTACTGGAATCAAAATATCCGCTACGTACCTAAAAATACCCAAAAAATCTAAAATCGGTGTTAAAAACATTTCCAGCCATTTTTAAGGTTCCAGCACGGCGTCAACACCATGCTCCAGCGTTGGCTCGCCTCAGCCTAGCCGATTTTGGTCTGTTTTAGCCAGTTTTGGTGGGTTTTAATCGGTTTTGACCAGTTTTATACGTATCCTTATAGAAAAACACGTTAGGGGCCTCGATTGAACAAAAAATCAAAAGAAAATAAACCTACCGGCAAGGGGGTCTCCGGGTGCGGCGACTTTGCTGGTTCTCCTTTACGGCTGAAGTTTCTCCTTTAGCAAACCTATACAGAAAAGGACGATGAATACAATAGTGAAAAAATTATGTTAAACGGGAAATGGGGGCTCATCGGAGGAGTTGTAGGGTTTCAGCTGCGGCGGCTTCGTCGGGTTTTGCTTGCAGTTTTCAGCTCACCCACCATTCCTTTTGCTCCGATAGGGAAACTCGAAATCAAATTTCGAGTGGGAAGGGGAAAATTTTTCATTTTTTTACGGTTGGCTGTGGCGCCGGTGCGACGACGTCCAGGGGTCGGTCTCCTTCTTCGGCGTCACATTCTTATTCTCCGGCAGGGCAGGTGCGGCTAATGTTAGGGTTCCCTGAGACGCAATGTTTAAATACCCATCCTGCGTTAATCTTGGCCGTCCATCCGCGTCGATACGGAGCGAGAAAAGTCGTCTGATCGTTGCTTGTTTAGGCTGATTGCGTGAACGAATCTAGATTATTCATCGCGATTGATCTCATCCATCCAATCGCGCATAAAGAGGGAATGCATCTGACCCGTCCGTGCGCGCAGGACGTGATTGTGACTGTCGGATCGCCAGGCACGCAGATCACCCGCATAACACCGATGTGAGCGTATTTTGCCACACAGTATGCTCTAGTTCGCCGTGGCTGCTGACTAGGTTGTCCCACTTGGCCAATTTTTTTTGGTTGTAATTTTACTCTATGTTTTCTAGTTTTCTTTCAAAAGTACATCATTTGTTCAAATTTCACCTATTTTAAAAAAAATTATTTTTAATTTCATTCATATTTTATTTTTCTCAATAATTTGAATAAAATAACATTAAAATAAAATAAATTAAATTATTTATATAATTTTTATAAAAAATATATATATCTCCTAAACTAATTTTTAAGTCCGGATATTACACAAGATCAAGAGATCAACAACAAGATTTATTCATAACATGTTACAATTTGAGGAAAGGGATGAAAGAGAGGAAAAATATTTTTGTGTATTGAGTTGATCATGAAGATATACCTCTAAATATAACACTCGCTCATCACGCAGATAATTAACAAAGCCTAAGCAAGAGTACTAAATTAATTTATAAACTAACTAATTTTATTATTATTGTCAGTATGTCAACTACTATATGGCGAAAAAGATACGTTTTCTTTGAAAAAAGAAAACGACATGCCAACTTATATATTTCACTATCAATAACAAAATGTTATTTAGTTAAAGAATAATTGATAAAATCGATTTGATACTTAAATTTTTTCTTTTAGAATTTTAGACTAATAAATTATCAAGCTGTGTGTTATAACTTTTATGAAAAAAATGTTTGACGGGTTTAGAATTTTAAGCAAAAAAAATTTAGTGAAGTGGTTAGGTACGTTATTTCTTGTAAATCATTAATATATTAGTCCCCAGTTAATATTTTTTTAAAAAAAAATTGGATGAGAATAAGATTCGAACTCGAGTCATTAAATTCAGTGAAGAATTATTACATGTGAAATGTTGAATAGCTTTAAAGAAGTGATTTAATCGAAAGCTCAAAATGAAAAATCTCACAGGTTGGATATTTCGAATATTCCTCCCCCTCACCCCAACACACAGGCTCAAGTTGACATTAATACAGTCATCAGAACTGATCAGCAGTCGGCCGAAGATCTCTTTTAAAATAACCAATTAAATGATGGCCACCTTCTAACGCCGAACATTCCCTTCATCCATTACTTATAATATATGTATATACACACGCACACGCGCCTGCTGCATTCAACAGACGACTAAAACCACAAAAAAAGAAAAAAAAATATCAAGAGGGCATGAAAGATACCAATCGATATAAATATACAAATGTATTGAGGTAGTCAGAAAGAGAAGGAAATATCATGATCCATGCGAAACAACTTGGAAGAATAACATCATAAATTAATGACGATGATGATGCAACATTGTAAAATTGAAATAATAAAATTATAAATTAATCTACCAAATAAAATTTATTAGCTTCCAATCACCAGCACAAAATTTAATTTTCATAATTAAATTAAGGATAAATTATATTTTTAAAAATTTATCATTCAATTAAATTTCTTAAAAATAATTAATTTGTTCTTGGAAAAAAAAAAAAAAAACAAAAATTCATTTTTGTCAAGAAGAATACTTTTGCTTCTGCTTGTGCGGCGGAGGGGTATGATGGGCCGTGTCAGTAGCCCCATGAATGAGAAAATTGTGAAACTACGTCGTTTTTGTCTTGGGTTTAATGAAAGACTCAATTGCCTCCAAATTCTGGAGTAGGTGGGCCCCGGCTCCTTTCACCCTATCGTATTTATTCCGGGTAGTTGAGATGTTTAATTGGAACTCATAAAATAAGTACGTCAAAGTGACACGTGGATGTCAAATAATTATTAGATATTTAAATGTCAATTGTCAATCGTTTCATGAACAAATTATTTGGTATTTAAGCAGTATTATATGTATATATTTAAAGGAGAATTATTAAATTCACAAGGCAAAATGCACCATTTACAAGAAAATTATAAGCTACAGAAAAGTCAAAATCCAAGGCTGTTAGTTTTAATTAAAACGAAAATGGTTACGACATCCGACCCGACCCATTTCAAATAAACCAAACAGGACTGACTATATATATAATCTTACCAAGGCCATCAAAAAAGGTATTTACTTTAGAAATAAAATACAGATTCGTTGTGTTAAGCTACGATTAAAAAAGTAATTAGAAGTTTGAAATTTTTAATTACTGCGACACAATATTACCTGCCCTGGAAAGCAAGTCGTTGGGCAGTTGGCATGTCTCCCCCCACTCTCAACCAGTCCTTTTATGTGTTATTTAACCCAATGCTCTTGCTAGAAAGTTGATGGTTGGATTTTGAGTGTTATTCCATTAAAAGAAATTATATTTTTTAAATAAGTTAATAAATTAGTTTTTAAAGTTTAATTATTGTTAAAATCATTTAAACATGAATTAATTATTTTAATTTTTTTGTTAAAAAATAAAATTAAGTTGAATGTTTATTAATTAATATCCAAGTTAAAGATTAATTTAATAATTTACTATAATTAAAAAAGAATGAACAGAAACTAAAAAGAAAATCTTGCTACGTGAAATTGATGTCAGAGAAAAAAAAAAAAAACAATTCAAATAGTTTGTTCGGGTCGGCTCCGTATGTTGTACTGTAATGGCGACCTGGTCAGGGTCAGCAGCCCACCAAACGCCCAGTTCCCGTTTTCTATCTTTTTAAACTTCAACCACCTCCATCACTCTTTTCATCATTTCTTGTCTTTCTCAGGAATTCAACGTTGTCTCTGGTATGTGGCTCTCTCTTCCTCGGTTTCCTTTTGACTTAATCTTGTTTCTTTACACAGTTTAATTGGTTATGCTTCCGTGCTTCGACTGCTTGCTCTATTTCTTTTTAATTTTCATTTTTAATTCTCTGCAACCCCCTGTTTGATTCACTTCTCCTCTGTTTTCAACTTTCTGATGGTTTCTGTTGTTTCTTATTTTCCTTAGGTAATTTGGTGTTGTTCGCTCTTAGCACGGGTAGTGCTTGGAAGCATAAAAGGTTTGCAGTTTTGGTGACTTAATGCATTCTTAGGATGATTATATCAAGGATAGGGGCACTTGGAGTTGTCTTGGTTGTGTGGTTATGCTGGTCTTCACTGCTTACAGGTGCCGAAGACCATATTACTGACCCGGTTGAAGGTGATTTTGCTTCGCTTTGTTGCTCTCTGCCAATCTGTTATTTTTTCTCTACAAGGTTTTTTAGCAAATTTGTTTTCAGAGCAGGCTTAGATTCGCTCTGCTGGTTTGTCTTCCCACTAGTTTTTTTTTTTTTTTTATAACTCTAGACGTGGTTTTGACTATTCATCATGTGGATGTATAGAGTCATTTTAGTAAAAGGCTTTTACTTTGGTTCTCCTATTTATTCCAAACGGAAATATTAGGAGCTCACAGCATCATTGGTGTTTTTCATTCTTCATGTTTGTTTAAACTTTATTGCTATTTGTAAAAATTTGCAGTGAAAGTATTGCGGGCCATAAGGAAAAGTTTGATTGATCCCAATAAGAATTTGAATAATTGGAATCGTGGAGATCCTTGTACTTCAAATTGGACAGGAGTTTTATGCTCCAATACTACACTGGACGATAAGTATCTACATGTTATAGAATTGTACGTTTCCTGTAACACTAATAATGTCAATTATTTGAACATCCTGTTTTGCTTGTATTAGTTTTCTCTTGGATAGCTAAATACATTTTATGGTAGTTTAAGTTAGGTCCATAACAGGTGGATAGTATCTGCTTGGACTTTATTTGTTCTGAAATTTATTTTCTATTTTAGCATTTGTCGCTTAGATATTCTGATAGGATATAAAAAGTGGTGATGCGGTTATCAATAAAAAAATTATATTCTTCATAAGTTATTGGCCCGGCTGTTTTATTCGTTTAGATATTCACGAACCTGCTGTTGCTCAAAAATCTATGTGCTTATATTCCTGTATACCGTAACAATTCTGCATTGTGTTAAATATCTTTTGTACCATCTAAACTCCCTTTCTTAAATCAGGCATTTGAATCAATAGCTTTCTTATGGTGCTTACTTGTTTTCCTTCCCAAAATTCTTAGTAAGATTCATTTCAACATTATTTGCAGGCAACTACTGAATATGAATCTTTCAGGAACCTTATCACCGGAGATTGGCCGCTTATCCCATCTGAAAATATTGTGAGGCACAATACATTGATGCTAATTGTTCTCTTATGATCTCCATACTTCAAAAGATTTTGGAAATATTTTTCTCCTCACCATTCTTGAGAGTGTGTTTTTTTCCATATAGTGATATGTTTGTTCTTGAAACCAATATGTTGTTCTGTACCATGTGTTAAGGGATTTTATGTGGAACAAAATAAGCGGAAGCATACCAAAGGAGATTGGTAATCTTACATCTTTAGAACTTTTGTAAGTTCCTTGCCTCTTAGTTTATATACTCAATGTTCATCTTTTCATTTTATAGTTTGATGTAGTGATGCAAATATGCTCCTTACTGTGCATCTTTAGGTGTCTAGCTTTCAAATAATATATATTTGTGTCTACTAACTAATGTTATAGATTTATGTATTTTGCTTGCCCATATTGTGGCATTATGAATGTGCACTTTATATGCTTTGCTGCTCAGTCTATATTACTTATGTTCCAGGCTATTGAATGGGAATCGGTTAACAGGGTTGTTGCCTGAGGAGCTTGGTAATCTTCTAAACTTGGATAGAATACAAGTTGACGAGAATCATATATCAGGATCAATACCTAAATCATTTGCAAATTTAAGTAAAGCAAAGCATTTGTGAGTGTGTTTCTTTTTCTACTTAGCAACATTAATTAGACTGGTATACTGTTTACATAATTATGTTATCTCTTCTTTTCCTCATTTGTGATATACTTTTTTTTTTCCTTTCATGAAGTCATATGAATAATAATTCAATTAGTGGGCAAATCCCACCCGAGCTCTCCAAATTACCCAAGCTTGTTCACTTGTAAGTTGTTCTTTTAGATGGGATTTAAGTGTTGATTCGAGAAATGAGACAGAGACCTTCTTTTGTACTGCTTTCTTTTATGGTTGCTGTTAACAAAATGAATTTCTGCAGCCTTCTTGATAACAACAATTTATCAGGGTTTCTTCCACCAGAGTTCTCGGAACTGCCGAGTTTACTTATCCTGTATGTTTCTTTCTTTGCTGGACCTTTTGGATTATGTAACATTTCTGATTCCCAATTCTAAGAGGAAGATGATACACGTGACTTTTAACCATGTGCCTTTCTTTTATTTCTTTGTTTTTTCCTTTTAACAGGCACATATACATTAGCTTTTACTATGTTTTACTATGTTCTTTTCATTATAATATATATTTCTTTTATTAGCACTTTCAGATTTTTTTTTTTAATTTTTGAATAAAATATATATGGCTAAAATAATCTTATGTGACACTTCAACTATAAGTATTGTTTATACTTCTATGCAAATGTTTCATTCTTATTTTTCACAATAAGTTATCTTTTCAACTGTATTCTGATAAAACTTGCAACTCTTTTGGTGCAAATAATCTAGTTATGTACTCAGTTTTATCTTTAATCTTGAAATAATTTATGTCTTCCCTGATAATAAGCTAAAGGAGGGCAGTTGTATTTTGTTTGCTCTTGAAAGATTGGAATTAGAAAGAAATGCACTTCTATTGAGTTATTTGGAGTTAAGTTATGGTTCTACTGATCTGTTGGTTTATAGGCAGACATTTGGTGTAACACAGGTGTGGCTTGCTCGAATGGGGTTGGATACAATATCTTTCTTTTTGCTCTTATAAAAAGTAGAATGGACAGTACAAGGTATAAAAATGATGAAGACCTTGATTTATTCATAAAACAGCAGGTATATATATACACAATGACTACTGTCAAGAGTAATGATAATGGAGCAATTTTAGGTTACTATATTTGATATTAAATCAAGCTAATAATTAAATGAAAGTCTGTTGACTAATCAACTATGATTAAAATAGTTCTGTATTTGGTATATATACACAATGAAGATTTTTAGAGAAAAATAAATTACTAATTTTTATTTCTTATATTTTGTGTTTATACTTAAAAGATAAATATAGAATAGTTATTTTTGTTCTATTTGGACTTTAATTTTAAGATATAATTATACTATTAGAACTGTAAGTAATATAGTATTTTACTTAACATGAAATCTTTATCAACACTTCCTCTGAAATTGGCGTAAATATATCATACATGTCCAACTTCCAAATTAGGTTCTGAAGAGACTTATTGCATATTCTTTTACTGAAAATGTCAGATACCTGGTTGCCAGAAAATACATGATATAAGTATAGAGAGCCACCAACCACCTTCTCTTTCATGAAATGTTGATCAATTTTAATGTATTTTGTCATGTCATGTTGAATTAAATTATGAGCAATGTTAATGGTTGCTTTATTAGCACAAAACATGGATAGTTTCTCATCTTTAAGCAGTTTTAACTCCCTCATTAGCTTTTGCAAATATAGTAATTCACATACTTTTTGAGCCACTACTCTATATTCTGCCTCAGCACTGGAGCGGACAACCACGCTTTGTTTATTACTTTTCCATGTAACTAAGTTGCCTTCTACAAATGTGCAATAACCTGTAGTTGATCTTCTATTATCTAGAGATTTAATTCAATCAATATCTGTAAATGCTTCTATTTTAAGATGACCATGTTTAGAAAAGAGCAAACTTTTTACTGGTGCAAATTTCATATATCATAATATGTAAAAAACAACATGTAAATGAGTCTCACGAGAATCATGCATGTACTGGCTCACAAGACTAACTGTGTATGCTCTATAAAGTCTGGTATGTGAAAGATAAATGAGTCGTCCAACTAGTCTTTAACATCTTCCTAAGTCAACTGATGTACCACTACCTACTTATAATTTGTGGTTACTTTCAATAGATGATTTTATCGGCTTGCAACCCATCATTCCAGTCTCTTTTAGTAAGTTTAGGATATACTTCATTTGAGAAATGAAGATCCCTTTATTGGATCTGACAATTTCAATTCTTAAGAAGTATTGCAATTTTCTTAAATCTTTTATTTCAAACTCTTGAACAAAAAGTTCCTTCAACTGAAGCATCTCCTTTATGTCATCATCTCTAGTCACTATAATATCATCCACATAAATAATGAAAAAAATGACCTTACCCTCACGATGTTTGATAAACAGGGTATGATCAAAATTGGTTTGTTGATATCCAAAAGAGATTATAATTCTTTTAAGGTATTTTTTAATTGGCAAACTTTTTTTGCGTCCTCTCATCTTTAAATTCAGATAGAATTTTCATGTACACCTCTTCCTCTAAATCTCCATGGAGAAATATATTTTTTATATAAAATTGCTGTAAATTCCAATCAAAAATAGCTGCACAAGACAAAAGTATTCTAATTGTGTTCATTTTCGCAACATGTGCAAATGTCTCCTGATAGTCAGTCTCATAGGTTTGGGTAAATCCTTTAGCCACCAATCTAGTTTTGTACCTTTTGATCGATCCATCTGCTTTGTGTTTTAAGGTAAACACCTACTTGCAACCAACTATCTTCTTTCCCTGTGGAGGTGAAATAAGTTCCCATGTTTCATTCTTTATTAATGCTCTCATTTCTTCAATTATGATTTTTTTTCTGTTTGGGATCTCCTAGAACTTCTCTCCAGTCATGTGGAATAGACACAGAAGAAACAGATAAAATAAAAACTCTATAGGAGGGAGATAGAAAGTCATAGGAAACAAAGTTAGATATAAGATGTTTAGTGCAAGTTCTCGTTCCCTTTCTAATAGGAATAGGTTTATCTGATAAATTACAAGAGAAAGATAACTCATCAGTATTTTCTAAAATCATATAAGATTCTTAACTTGGAACAGACTGCATGATAGTTTTTTCAGACTTCTCTCTCCTTGAATACTTTTCAAATTTGGTTTATCTAGACATCCAACATTATATTCTTGATTAAAACTTTCTGCAATAGAATTCTCCCTCTGAATATAACTCTAAATTGTTACCTAATTAGGTATCACTTCTTCCTTCTCACTCTTCTCCTAAATAGGTGTTGGGTTTAAGTTAAAGTAAAACTTATTTTCTCTAATGGTAACATTCATAGTTAAAAAGTATTTTCTACATGGTGGATGATAACACTTGTAGCTTTTTTGGATAGAAAAATATCAAACAAATACACATTTAAGAGATTTGGGTTCTAGCTTACCTCCATTTCTATCATGAATAAAACACACACTTTCAAACACTTTTGGAGGAACAATATAGGAATTTTTTCTTTGTAAAACCTCCAGAAGACTTTTAAAATTCAGAATCCGTAAAGACATTTTATTGATAAGATAGACAATTGAGAGAACCGCATCTCCCCAACAATTCTTTGGTAGATTTATGGTGAACATTAGTGATCGAATTATCTTCAGTATATGTCTGTTTTTTCTTTCAGTAATTCCATTTTGTTCACTGGTGTAGGCACAACTTATATGATGAATTATCCCATTTGACTTTAGGTAGACACAGAATCTACTATCCATATATTCTGTACCATTGTCAGTTCGCAGAATCTTAATTTTAATACCAAACTGTATACATATCATTTTATGGAATGATTGAAAACATGAAAGTACAACACCTTATGCTTTTAACAGATAAATCCATATTAATCTAGTACAACAGTCAATAAAAGTAACAAACCATCTATGACCAGAAAAAGAAATATTCTGAGTAGGTCCCCACACATAAGAGTGAATAGTCATAAAAGGATCAGTACTTCTGTTATTACTTAAATGATAAAAGCTTATCTTATGTTTAGTAAGTTCGCATGCATCACAAAATAAAAACGTTATAGAAGTTATTTTAAATAATTTAAGATATAATTTTTCTAAAATAAAAAAAAGAAAGATGTCCCAATCGTCAGTGCATTGTAGTATCTCTATATTGACTTCTTTATTTTCAATGGTTACTTGATTCTAATTAAATTCATATGTTTATTCAAGACATATAAGCCATCTTGCAGTTTACCAGTGTCAATCCTCTTCCTAATTTGAAGATTTTGAAAAATGCAATGATTAGGAAAAAATTTAATTTTACAGTTGAGATTTTTAATTGTGACACTAATAGATAAAAAATTGTTAGAAAAATTAGACACATGTAAAATTGAAGAGAGTGTAATAGTAGGAGTACAAGTAATAGAACCTGTTCCTAACACAGACGTGTATAACCCATTTGCTATACGGATATTATCCTCTTCAGTGCAAGAATAATAAGTTAAGAATTATTTAGAAGAGTCTGTCATGTGTTTGTTAGTTTCAGAGTATATAATCCAATTATTAGGAGTGGAATATGATAGAGATGACCAATACCTGATTTTACCATATTTGATGTGCCAATAGTTGATGAAGCGTTGAGTTGACTCATAAGACGCTTCAAGTTTTGAATTTCTTATGTGGAAAATGCTCCAATGGATGGTGAATCAAGTACTTCACTGGTTTCAACAAAATTTATTTGAACTCTTGCAGTTCTACCTCTAGTTCTTCTCCGACCTCTATTTGGTCTTCTATGCAACTTCCAATAAGTTTTCCTAGTATGTTCTAACTTGCTATAATAGTTACACTTCCGTATATACCTGGATTGATCAGACTAAGCAATTTCTCAACTGGTGCAGTGTGAAGTATGACATTTCTTTTACTTTCTTCTTATTAGACATAAATATAAGTTTATTCTAATGAGGGAAAATGATCTTTACCAAGAACCTGAACCCATATTTGATCATATTCGGTATTCACACCAGGTAAGAAATCATAAATCTGCTCTCTTTCTATCAGTTTCTGAAATTTGACTGCATCGATAGGACAATCTGCTTGGAAATGTTAATAGTAATCTAACTCCTGCAATAATACATTCAGTTCAGAAAAATATTGAGAAATAGTCATATTTTCTTATTTTGTGCCATGAACTTTATTCCATAGTTCATAAATCTGAGTGTCATTACTCATCTGTGAATATGTAAGAGATGCTGCATTTCATATCTTTTCGACAGTGTTAAGTAACAGATATATTCTGGTAATAGGAAACATGATATTTCTTCTACTTTATTCTTACTCGACATAAGCATAAGTTTGTTTTAATGAGGGAAAATGATTTTTACCAAGCAGCTGAACCCGTATTTGACCATATTCGGTGTTCACACTAGGTAAGAAATTATAAATCCGCTCTCTTTATATCAATTTCTGAAATTTGACTGTATCGGCAGGACAATCTACTTGAAAATGTTGATAGTAATCTAACTCCTGCCATAATATATTCAGTTCAGAAAAATATTGAGAAATAGTCATATCTCCTTATTTTGTGGCATGAACTTTATTCCGTAGTTCATAATTCTGTGCGTCATTATCCATCTGTAAATATGTAAGAGATGCTGCATTTTATATCTTTTTAGCAGTATTAAGTAACAGATATGTTCTGCTCATATGAGGTTGCATGAAATTAATGAGTCATGACATTATCAAGAAGATCTCAGAGTCTCATCTATTATATTTTAAAGTAGCAACATTTGATTTTTTCATTTCATCAGTAATATAACCCTGCAATTCTTTAAATTTGATGAACAATAAATAAGATCTTGACCAAATGAGATAATTAGTTTCATTAAGTTTTACGGGACTAATTTGTAATGAAGAATTATCAAAACTAGTAACACTCACATTTTTTTCTTTTGTTATCTTGTAATGTTAAAAATAATGAGAAAAATACGCAATAAGGAAAGATGAACTTCCTAATATGTACCAAAATAGCCAAAAAAGGGCCAGAAAGCTGAAAAAAAGCCAAAAAATCTAGAAATATATCTGGCTCGGCTCGGCTCGGTGGCAGCTCAGACGCAGATAGCTCCGCTTAGGCGCGGAATGACCAGAATAAGTCGGTCTGGCGTGCAGAATGGCGAGATTGGATGTCCCTGTGCGCAGAAAGTTGGAATGGCGTGTGAAAAGCTGGAAGATGTTTGTCTGACAATGTAGCGTGATTCAGTGCACGACCGGAGCGGGGTAGCACGCAAGAGGTTTAGACGAGTTGCCTCAAGGTGCGGTTCAGGGGATCGGCTGAATGTGTGCAGTCGCGTGAAATTCGGAATTTGGACGCGCAATGCGTGCTGGATCGCGTGTGAAACGCCAAAAAAGAGGCGGATCTTGGTGTGCGATGGCCATACGACACGATTCCAGCCGGAATGAGGTTATTTTTGACGGCACGTGGGGTTCACTCGCTTCCACTACTGGCGGCGCATGTGGCTTGCGCGACAGAGATTCCTCCGGTCTGGTGCCAGTGAGCGGCGGCTCTGTCTTGGTGTTGGTGGGATTGGGTTTTTTGATAGGTGAGTACCAACTCAGCCTATTTTGCTATTTTAGAGTTTTGAGAAAACTCTAAAATTAAAATTCTAAAATTAGTCTTATTTTGATTCTAATATCATGAAGATTTTTAGAGAAAAATAAATTAATAATTTTTATTTCTTATGTTTTATTTTTACACTTAAAAGATATATATAGAGTAATTATCCTTATTTTAGTTGGATTTTAATTCTAAACTAATAATTATATTATTAGAACTCTAACTAATATAATATTTTATTTAGTATAAAATCCTTATCAACGCTAATCAACTATAATTGAGACAGTTCAGCATTTGGTATATATACACAATGACTATTGTCAAGAGTAATGATGTGGAGATGATGGAGTTTGATCATCGGGAGATTAAAGGAAATGAGAACTTGAGACAAGAGGCCCGTAATTACTTCTATAACATGTACAGAGAGGAGCAATTTGGTGGTCAAAATTTGATGGTATTTCTTTTAGCACCCTTGATGAGTTGAGTTGGAAGACATTGGAAAATGACTTTACCGAAGAGGAGATCTATGAGGCTCTAAAACAGTGCAAGAATGACAAGACTCCTAGACCAGATGGTTTCAATGTGGGTTTCCTATAAAAGTTCTGGTACTTGATGAAAGACGATATAAAGGAGTTTCTTAAGGAAATGCATGAGGCAGATACTTTTGTGAAAGCTCTCAACTCAACTTTTCTAGTAGGTTATTGCCAAGGTGGAAGAGGCGAGGAATATTAAGGACTTTCAGCCTATTAGTTTAGTGGGATGTGTGTATATTCTTATTACTAAAGTGCTTGCAAGAGGTTGTCAAGAGTGTTGGGTAAAGTGGTTGGCACCTACCAGTATACATTCATTGAAGGAAGACAGATTGTGAATGCAGTCTTGATTGCTAATGAGATTTGGACAGTATTCTAATATGAAAAAAATATATGATCATGTTAGTTGAGATTTCATTGATTATATGCTTACTATGATAGATTTTGGAGTGAAGTGGTGAAAATGGATCAAGGTGTGCATTTTTTTTTTGGTGGGATATGTGTATAATCTTATTGCTAAAGAAGTTACTATGATGGATTGCTAATGAGGTTGTGGACAATATTCTAATATGAAAAAATATATGATCACGTTAGTTGAGATTTCATTGATTGTATGATTGCTATGATGGATTTTAGAGTGAAGTGGTGAAAATGGATCAAGGTGTGTATTTTTTTTCCTTTGCAGTCCTGGTGAATTGGGGACTTTTGAAGTTGTTTAAAACTTTCAGAAGTATCCGATAAAGAGATCTTTTATCCCCTTTCTTGTTTTTCATTGTTATAGAAACTTTAATAAATTGTTATTACACGTTAGAGAGTTGGAACTATTGAAATGCCTCATAGTTGGCAAGGGAGAGACAGTTAAGGAGATCTCTCATCTATTTTTAACTAATGATAACTAGGTGTTTTGTCAAGATGAAGTTTCTTTGTTAAACCTCCAATGCATATGTCAGGATATTAAGGGTAAAAAAAAGAGAAACAATAAAATGAGTAAATTAATTTTTTGCATGTATCAATTAGGGTTATGATTAGAGTTAATGTTTCCACTGTATTGATTCCGGCTGTGATAATAGCTGTTTTGATTGCTTATAGTTTATAAAAAATTCAATTTTTATGTTATAATCAATTAAGGAAAGAATAAGAATAAATTCATAGATTTCTCTTTCTATTTCTCTTCTATTTTTCTCTTATTCTTTCTTCTCTCTTCTCTCTTTCTTTCTTTTTTAAGATCAGACAATTATGTCAAATGCGATAAGGTGGTATCAGAGGCAGAAAATCCCGAGATGATCACTGTGAAGGAGGTCGACATGAAACTCTTCGCGTTAATGGATGAAATGCGTCAACAATTCAGCTTGATCCTGGATCTGCTCCGTGGTAGATCTGTCGACTGGATAGAAGAAAGGCAGACACGTCTAGAGGTCGAGATTCACGAAGGCGGATGCCTTTTGCCTCAATTGAAAGACAGCTAGCTATATCCCAAAAGATACGATGCCGACAGCTCAAGAGGTCGCACCTGATGGCCAATCGACCCCTTTTCCGCATGATGAAGAAGAAGACAAGATTTGAGATTTAGATAAAAAAATAAACTCTAAAATCGGTTCAGTTATTTAACCAGCCTAAACAATACAAACCAAATCAAGTTCCCTAACTTATCTGATTCGAGCTGGTACAGTCAACATTTTGAACCGAAGCAGTTCTCTTGCTCCTCTCTTCTTTCTGTCTCAAACAACAGCGACCAAGAATGAAAACCCTAGAGTTCTCTGCCTCGTCCTCCTCGGTCAACTAGGTAGAAAGAGTTACCTCTTGTAACCTCTGTTTGGGTTCCGCCTTCATTCACACGAGGTAAAGATGGAAACTTGTAGGTCTCTTGTTCTTCAGATGGGTTCTAATCTGGAAAAGAAGATGCAGAAGAAGGAGAAGCGGAAGAAGAAGAGGTTACTACAATGACACGATTAGACTAACTGGCAATGGCTGCGTCGGTAATGTGGATAGGCCAATATGTGAAAATTTGATTTCATGGAGTGGAAGCAGTAGAAAGCTGCTCTAAAAATATATATATATATATATACATTTATACATAATTAAAAAAAAAAGATTTTCTGGGGAGTAGAAGCAATAGAAAACTGCTTCAGAAAAAAAAGATATATACATATATAATAATTAGCATATATATATAATCGCTTTAAGATATATATATATATAAAAAGGAACAAAACTTGCTTTAAAAATTATATATATCTATATATTTAATAATAATAATAATAAGGTATATTTTAACCTTGGGGACAAGGTTGATACTGAAAGGGAAAGTATTGTCCAGACATTAAGGGTAAAAAAGAGAAAAATAATAAAATGGGTAAATTAGTTCTTTGCATGTATCAATTAGGGTTAGGGTTGGAGTTAGAGTTAATATTTCTGCTACATTGATTCCGACCGTGATAGTGGTTGCTTTAATTTCTTAGAGTATATAAAAGACTCAATTTTTATGTTATAATCAATTAAAAAAAGAATAAGAATAAATTCACAGATTTTCCTCTCTATTTCTCTTCTATTTTTCTGTTCTTCTCTCTTCTCTCTTTCTTTCTTTCTCAAGATTAGATAGCCATGTCAAAGGTTTCTGACAGCACCCTGCTGTATGTTCAAGCTATGTCAGGTTTGAATATTAATTTAGCAAAATCTGGACTACTATTAATAGTGACAGATTGGCAAAAGTGATGGGATGTAAGGATGTCAAATTACCAATGAAATATTTAAGGCTTTCTTTGGATGCTACAACAAGGATATAAGGACGTAAGATCCAATTGTGACGAAATTTAAGGGAAGACTATACGGATGGAAGAGAAGTTTATCTGAAGGAGGTAGACTGACTCCCATAAAAAGCACTTTGTCCAATCTCTCGGTGTATCATATATCCCTAGTGAGAATGCATGCAAGTATTGTCAAGAAAGTGGAAGCTATGCAATGAAAATTCATGTGAGCTGATTCTGAAGAAAAAAAAATATCACTTGGTGGTCTTAAATATAACTAAGAAACCTTTGAGTGAAGAAGGATCGAGTTGGAGATCAATTTTGGAGATGAATAAGGCTTTACAATAGAAATGGTTGTGGTGATTCATGAGGGAGAGAGATGCTTTGTGAAAGAGGATTATTGGGGTGAAGTTTGGCATGATAGAGAGAGGATTGTTCGTGAGAGTTGTGGCTTCTCCCCACGAGAGAGGGTTGGTGGATAAAAATGTACGAGGGTAAAGAGGGATTTCAGAGGTGTGTGCAATAGAGAGAGGGAGATGGGAGTAGAATTGGCATTTGTTTAGATAGGTGGCTTGGAGATAGAACATTAAAATATAGTTTTTTAGAGATTTATGCCATAAGTTGTTACAAAGATATGCAATTTAGAAGGCTTATGGTAGTGATGAAGGTAGAAGTAATTGACATGTGGAAGTCACACAGAATCTTAATGATTGGAAAATTGATCAATGTGAAGCTCTATTGGATACTTTGGATTCAGTCATGTTGATTGAAGAAGTTGACAAGTCAATGTGGACTCTTAATGCAATGGG